AAATTATCTTTAATAACAGTTCTTTATGTTTTTAATGATTTATTCTTTAATAATTTTTACAAGTATAATATTTTTGGTTAACCTGATTACTAATATGCACATCTTATTGCAAATATTGTACTTTTAGATGGTTATTCAATTTTTTTTTAAAAATCGAATATAATTTAATTTAATATATCTTAATTTTTACTATTATTTTCTAAAAAATTAATAATTTTATTAATTTTAATTTCTTCTTTTTATGATTTATATATTTATTTAATTTCATTTTATAAATAATCACCTAATATATTGTCATATTTTTTTATTTATAAGCATTTTTTTAAAATATTATGATATTCCTTTATTATAATTTCCTTTCTAGTTTATTTTTTATATATAATCATAATAAAATTGGATTTATGAATTTTTTACATTTTATTATTTAATTTTTTTTTTTTATTTATTAAATTAAATTTACATTTTATTAAATCATCTATTCATAGATTTTAATTATCTTATATAATACATATAAATGAAAAAAAAATTTAAATCTTTTTATTTAAAAATTAAATCTATATTAAATATATATAAAAACACTATAATAAAATATACGAATTTATAAAATACTAAACTATTAACTATATAAAATCTTTTCTTTAAAAATATTAAAATATTTGAACTAATTATTTTATAAAAACAAACAATTTTTATTAAATTATTTATATATTATTAACAATTAAAAAAATGCTCAATTATCTATAGACTCAATAAGTTTATCATCATTATAATATTTTCCAAAAGTTTAAGGATTTTTAGAGTTTATCTTTCCTCCTTTTTAAAATCAAGTAAATAAATCAAAAAGCAAAAAATAGGCACATGATTAAATTATAATATACAATATTAAAAATCTTATATTCCTTTCCATCAATTATAATACCTCCTACAAAAGACAGCATGGAAAATCCAATATTTCTAAAACATGAATTAATTGCTATAGCAGAATTATGATTATAATGATTACATAATAAAGGAATTGTAGGATATAAATAAGTAGTAGCAGTTGTTAAATATAATCCAAAGATAATTAAAGCTAAAACAACCAAAAACAAACTTTCTTATCCAAAATAAAGCACAAGCATTGTAGAAAGTCCTAATAAACCTGCGAAAATCAAACCAAAAACTCTTTTACCAATATAATCAGTTACTAATCCGAATACAGGTTAAATAAAAGAAATCCAAAAAGGTATAGAAATTATCTATCCTGCTGTAGTTTAATGGAAATTAAACTTTTTAATAAGAATAGTTTATAAGAAATTATTGAAAGAGAAAAATCCTCCAATGATTAATAAAGATTAAATACTATAAACCCAGAAAATATAGCTTTTGAATTTAAAGCTATCAAATGTTTCTTATAAGCTTTTGTTTTTATTATTTTCTTACTAAAAATCAGAGGTTTTATCAAGAAAAGCCACCAAAAGAGCACAAAAAAAGAAAATACACAAATTAAGCATCCTACAAAAAAAGGAAGAACCAAACTTTGATTTACATCAAATAAATAGGGATATAAAATTCCAGAAAAGGCATTTCCAATCTTATTAGCGAAAATACCAGTAGAAAATGCAAATGTTAATCCTTTTTGTTTAAACCATTTTGAAAATATATATGTTTACGGGACATATACGATTTCTTATCCAATCATAAATATTGACTTGCCTATTAGTAATAAATTGTAGTATTTAATATATACTGATACTAAACATAATGATTATCCTATTACCATTAATAAACATAAATATAATAATGATTTCTTTATTCCTATTCTTTCAATTAAAAATGGAGATAATAATGATAATATTATGTTTGGAAGAGGAGTTATTAAAACTAAATATAAATATTATTATGATGACATATTCATTTATTATGTAAGTTGCTTTTTTATATATGATTGAAAACCCATATTATAAAATCCTCCTATGCCTATACTTGCTGTAAATATTAATATTAAATATTTTATGCAGGTAGAAGTTTCTTCAACTAAATTTTTTATTTTTATTTTTTAAATTATAATTATACTTGTGTTTTTTTAAGTTTTTAATATAATTTTGTTTTTTTTGGTATTGATCATCTTTGCTTTTTTTATTAAAATATTTGATTTTTAAGGTAAAATTATAATAAAAAAAAAGATATATATATTAATTAACTTAAATGAATGTTATTATAAAAAAATAATTTTAAAATTATTAATAAGTGATTTATAATTAAAACATTTTAAATTTGAAATAATAAGAAAATATTCTAATCTATACCTATATAAAGAAGAATTCAAAACACAATTTCAATATCAATGTTTATCTTCAATATCAAACAAAAAAGTAGAAAGTTTAAAAAGAATAAAAAAATATAAAATAAACAAGTAAAAATTAGTAAAAATACCAAAGAAAAAGTTATAAACAAGTGAAATGTTAGGAAATTTGAAAATAATTTAATAAATAAAAATAAATTATATTGAATAAAAAGAAGTGAATAATTAAGCAAAAAGTAATAACTATAAAACAAAGATTAGTATAAAAAATAATAATAATATTTAAATTATCTAAAATTGATAAATAATAAAAATAAATAATCTATATAAATATTAAATTAAAATACAATCCATAACAAAGATTTTTTATAAGCTTAATATTAAATAAAATCTGGTAAAAGAAAAATAATTTCAATTATTAAATTATATAAAAAAAAATAATTTATTCATATTATATTATTTATTATTAAATAAATATTTTTAAAATCTAAAATAAAAAAAATTATAAAAAAGAGAAAATTTCAAACTTATTTTTTGATATTTTTAGTAAATTTATTAAAAATTGGAAGAAAGAAAAAGAAAATAAAAAAAAATATATATTAAAACTAAAAATAATTTAAAAATTATTAAGAAAAAAAAAAAAAAAAAAAATACTAATATTATAAATTAAATTTAGAATAAAAAAAAATTAAATTATATATAATATGTTAGTAATATATTAAAAGAATATTTAAATAAATTAATATATTAATATATATATATATATATACATATAAAATATAATTATTTTTTAAATATTTATAAATAAATATTATTTATTTTATTTTAAATTATATTTAAATTTAATTAAATATTTTTATATATATTTTTATATATTTTAATATATATTTATAAATTTATATTTTATTTTAAGTTTATATATAAATTTAAATATTGAATTTATAATAATTTTTTTATTTTTAATATATATTATAAATTAATTAAAGGTTAAATATATATAAAATACAGAAATTTTTATATTTATAAATTATTAATAAAATGAGTGAAAAAATTAATTTTTTATAATTAATATAATAAAATATATATATATATATATATATATATATTTATATATATATTTATAATTTTACTTTATTATTGAAATTTATATAAATATTTTAACTTTAGTATTTTTATTTTCTTTTTTTTTATATTAAATTAATTCTTAGTTTTATTTTAATATTTTTTATTATTTTAATATAATATATATTTATAATTTCTATTAGCTAATTAATTAATTTTTAATTACTATATATATATATTGTATGTAATATAGAAAATTTTTAAGTTAGAAATTTATACATTATTATTATATTTTAAAAATCTTTACATATTTTTTTCTATTTTTCTATTTTTAAAATTAAAATGAAATCACATTTATACTAGGACTATACTATCCAACTCCATATAAGCCTTAATTCCAATCATATCCAAGTCCAAATGCCAAAAATTCTCCATCAAACGAAGGACATGTAGTACTAATAGATTATTTCAAAACCATATCTTTTATTTTACATTTATTTGTAAAATCCCAAAAAATCTAATAATTGTAAATATTTAAATAAAATAAAAAAAAATACTATTTTTCCTTCAGAACCAAAAGTTGCAAGTTCTTATTCATTTTTAGGATTAAATTAAATATCATTAACTGGATATAAATCTTAAAATCTTTAAGTTTTAAAAGATCCTGTTTATTCGTCTC